TCCATACAATCTGATAGCAGACGGTGTAAATTTGATTGTTTTTACACGCCAATGCAAGGTGAAGCACAATGAGTGCTACTGGATACTCTTCGACATGGATAAGGTGTATAAAGCTGCGTCTCCTTCATCTTTGATTTTGAATATTTCTTCCTTTTCTTAGCATCAGGATGTTCTTGTTTCTTTAGATCCTCGACGGAGCGAACATCAGCAATGCACACAAATGATCTAGCTTTACCTGAGTAATACCTTGACAACCCTCTCCCGCTGAAGAACAAACAATATCCATTATGTTGAATAATTGAATCATCAAACATTTATTTGCATTTTTTTTCTTCCAATGATAAAAAGAACATGATAAGCAGAGCACAAATGAATCAAACCCTTTCTTTTGGGGAAGGTTGCTCCTCAAGCCTCCCATGTCAAAAGCTCCCATGTCAGTTTGACTCTCCATTATAGAATGTAGAAAAAAGAGAGAGTAGTTGTTGCTTCAGAATCAAAATAGAATGTCTAACTGCTGGAGATTTATATGGAAGTTTGTGTATGGGAAATAGTTATGAAGGGAACGTAACGGTCATGTTGTAGTAATGGGGATAAGAGCTCACACGTCATGGATAGAAATTCATTTATGTTTCTACAAATATGGATTGCTTTGCATTTCCTTTTCGGTTTAGGAAAAAGATAGATACAAATTGATATCCACATCCTTATCTAAACTCCCTCTTGTTCATTCAAAAGGTTAAAGGCATCTCTCACATTTTTTTTTTCTACGTTATAACGCCCACACATTCTTTTATACTACCTATTAACTTTCATTATTTAATGGTGGTGGAGAATCAATGTTACCCATTCCATTGTCGGTTTCAATGGTGGTGATGGTGGAGAATGAATATTTAGTGCAATTTGTTTGTCTCAAATGCTTAGTGTTAAACCTATTTGTGGCTGGCAATTGGTTTTTGAATTAAGGATATGATTTTATGCAAAAATGATTCAAAGAAAAAGTTGAAGGCAATAGCTGAAACCCATTTGGATCCTTAATATATTCAGATTCCTACTTCAATTGAGGCTTTTGATCAGGACATCGAGCATCATGACCATTTTGGCCATTACCTAAAATAGAATCCACCACCATTTTGGCCATACCTTGTTTTTTTTCCTTTTCCTTCCATATAATCCTATTTTAATCACAAAGCAAGGAAATTGAAGGAGATTTCTGAATTACTATTATTTTTCGGCCATTTATACAGCGGCTTAATGCTCAGAAATGTTTGGTGTCCTGAGCGATAATCATCTCAATCTTGCATCTTAAAACGGAGGAACCAACCTCTCTTTGTTTTGCTATCTCGGTAGAAATACTTAATGAAACATAGTATCCTTGATTTTGATTCATGACACTACTGTAAACTTGTATAAATTCCATCTTCTTAACAATGATGATTAAGTTGCTTCAGATACGGCTAAAGTCAGGCCAAACATATAGTGTAACTGCTCTTATGTCCTATGGATGTTGCAGCTATGGTTAGCTGGATGTCAAGTGGTTAAATCATGTGATTACAGAAGTGAAGATCTAAACAATAAAACTAAGTAAATGAATATAAATATTATTTTCATACAATTATAAAGAACTTGATCGCTTTAGCAGGAATGACCTGATATGAGTATGATCAACCAATATTCTTAAAGTCTCAAATCTCTAGATGTCTGATTTCACAGCAGTTTAAGTCAATATGTTAACTTCTAATTAATCTGAAAAAACTTGATTCTTAGACAGAAGCACACCCTCCAAAAAGTAAAAAGAAAGTGTTCTTTTGGAGGTTAGAAGATAGATTTGTTTGTCTAAACTTACCATGCAATCCAAATGTTAAAATTGCTACTTGCAATTGGCATATCTGTCTGGTCTCATACAACTAAACATTGACACAATTGCAACTTGAACCAATTCTTATTGAAATTGTTGGTAAACTGAATTCAAAAACTTACACTACTATGCTAAAACACTATACAAAATTGCAAACTGCTATTGATCTTTCATATGATAGAATTAATTGACACATAAGATTAATGGTACTGTATGCATTTATCATTTGACACCAGTACATTAATCATACCGTATATTTTGGTATACGTATCTTTGACTATGAAATTGAATACCCCACACAACAAAGAAGGAAAGAGAGGTGAAATAGTTGTTACATAGACAAGCGCATATTTTATGAGAGAAAAGAAATGCCTGCCCAAGGCCTTCACAAATGGTAGGATTATATTCCACTTATCAAGCAGCTGTATTACCTACCATTCAGCGCTTGAAATTGTGCGAACATTGCAGTTCCTGAGTGTTCACCAATGGCTTGAACTTCAGCTGGACCTTTATTGTCTTCTGGATGAGAAGCTGGATGGTTATTATCAAATGGAGGACTGCTGGATGGAACCACAATAGAAGGGGATGCAGTGGCAGTGTTAGACGACTTAGTCTCATCCTCTGATTTTCCTTCTGAGAATGATTCTTGCAGCTGCAAGGCATACTCCAAGTTCCACAAAACATCTCCCATTGAAGGTCTGTCAACACCATATTCTGCCAAGCACTTCTCTGCAGCCTCAGCAAACTTTTTCATTGATTCAGGATTGATGCTACCCACAAGCTGAGGATCAATAATCTTTTCAAGCAAGCCCTTCCTCTTCCATTGCATTGCCCATTCAGCCAAGTTAACCTGTTCTCTTGGCAATTGTGGGTTAATGGCAGGTCTTGCACACAAGGTTTCAAGCAGAACCACCCCAAATGAGTAAACATCTGATTTTTCTGTCAATTGTTGCCTCCTGAAGTACTCAGGGTCCAAGTAACCAAAGCTGCCTTTCACTGCAGTGCTAACATGATTCTGTCCCATAGGTGTGTCTTTTGACAGCCCAAAATCGGCAACCTTAGCAACAAAGGCATCATCAAGCAAAATATTGGTGGTCTTAACATCACGGTGAATAATCCCTTGCGCTGTACCAGTGTGAAGGTAGTGAAGTCCACGAGCAGCTCCGATACTGATCTCGAGCCTTTGCTTCCATGATAATGGTAGCAAGTCTTTTCCATACAAGTGATCCCTGAAAGGTCCATTGGACATGTACTCATAAACCAGGATCATTTCATTGTTCTCATCACAGTAACCAATCAGTGACACCAAGTGCCTATGCCTTAGCTTTGACAACATCTGGATTTCTGTCTGGAACTCTGTGATACCTTGTTCAGATTGTGGGTTCCCTCTCTTGACAGCAACTTTGGTCCCATCATCGATCACACCTATATAGACATTGCCAAATCCGCCAACACCAATTATAGCACTTGAATCAAAGTTCTTGGTTGCTTCTTGCAACTCCGCCAGAGAGAAATAACGGCCTAAGCCTAGGGTCGATGAGCAAAAGTTGCTCTTGTTAGAACCAGCAGAGCTCTTGCTCAAGAAGCTAGTGTCTCCGGCATGGAGCGGAAGCAGCCAAGAAGAAAAGCTATTCCTCTTTTGCCAATCTTGGGGTCTCCTCTTCCATCTAATAACCATTGCACCAAGACCCACAAAGGCACCAAACATCATGGCAAAACCGACTGCAGCCACTGTGCCCTTGTTGGCTATGCCTACCCTTCCATCAGCACCAAATTCCCCATCCAAACTATCAACAGAGTTGCTCATTTTCAAGACCTCCAAGCCATTAAGAATTGCATTAGTCAATCCCGTATCCTGATTCAACGGACCAATCTGAACCGTTAGTCCATTGCTGAAGAGGGAAGCATTCACCACAATATCTTTGTAGTATGGAACAGCCAACCCCCCAGTTAGGCTTGACAAGTCCAATCCGGAAATGGCCATTTTACCATTAATGTATACATTGAAATACAGGTCATTGAGTGACTTGCTAACAATGTCACAAAAATGCATCCGAATCATGTAATCAAAAGCTGTATCAACTTCTAACTGCCATGTGACATTGAAGTTTGGTTTCACTGTTTTTGCATCAGCCATCTGAATAAGAGATGAATAAACTGTTGCTGGTGCAATCAGTGGTGTTAAAGTCTCAGGGTATTTGATAGAAGTTGTGGAAGCAGAGGCACTCTTAGCTAATTTTTTGTCTCGAAGATAGTCAGTGTCAGGTATCCAAGTCCGTCCTAGCGTGTCGTTCTGTGAGATGATCAGAGGTCCCCCAATGTTAAGCCTGTATACGACATGGTAACCATAATTGGACAGGCCAGGAAAGTTGTTGACAGGGAAAAGGGAAGTGCCTTCATCGGCAATCAAGCTATCCGGTGCTGAAACAACCTCAATGGCATTTATAAAAGCAACTGAATTCTTCATAGGAGAAAACTTGAGGGTAAATGTAGGATCAGTCATGTTAAGGAGGTATTCCTTGAGGATAGGTATAGTGTTATTGTAAGCCTTGAAGTTGTGAAGGAGAACATACTGATTTGCGGAGACGGAGAATGTTGATTGTTGAAGATCAAACCGGTTATCTTTTATTGAAAAGAAATAGAGACGCACCCAATGAAAACCAGGTCGTTTTAACTGGAATGTATAGGCGGTTTCTTGGGCAAATACCCTCGCGGTTAGATATAAAGGTGAAGGAACATCAGCGGAGGGGACAGATACTTGAACATCTTCCTTGGTTTGCAAGAACTCAGAGGCTTGTTGGTCAGTTTTGAAGACTCTTCCATCAGGGAGTGTGGGTGGAGAGTTGGCACCACAATCAATGAGAATGTTATCAAGGGGAGTGAAGGAACCGCTGCTGATCGGCAAGGCAAAAATGGTGGGGCAAGAAATGAGGGTGTAGAAGATCACCAGGAGGATAGCCATCGATGAAGAAGATGACAAAAAGGAGGATAGAAAAAAGTTGGTTTGATATGTTTTTGGTTTCTTTTCTATCTCCATCCCTCCTGGATGAGAGGGATGCTCAGAAATGAGCCAACAAAGGATCTTCGGAGAAAAAGGGTAATGGTGTTATATCTGAAAACAGGGTTTGTTACTTTTATTTTCTTGAATATCAGTGGAGGAAAGGAAATGACAGCAGAATTGGACTTTGCATTCCCAATTATGAGGCAATGTTTGCGGGGAAGGATTTTTTTGTTTCGTTGAGAATTTGTTGCTCCGGCCTCCATTTTTAGCAATTGCCAACAAAATAAAGGTTTACAAGAGCTTTGGACATGGTCAATGTTCAACCAAACTTCCTCTCTTTCCCTCCTTATTTCCCATTTCCCTTGAAGGCTTGAGGCAGCTTTCGAAGTATGCTGATTAAAAGCTTAAAACGTTAGCTGTGGTGAACTCTGGCTTAGAAATAGGAAATGCCATCACAAAAAATAGTAGGGGAAAATTTTCTACTCCAAAATGAGCAATGTTACTCGGACAATGGCTACCCTTTTTTTATTATATATTTTTTTAGTAAATTAAATCAAAATCAGATCAATATGAATAGAGATAGGAAATGGAGTTTTACATACAAAGGCAAAATCCATAAAGCATTCTGTTGTCCCCAATGGCCCAAAACATTTTAGTTTAGAGGCATTTTCTAATATTCTTAACTGGATGAATTTTGATCGCAAGAAAGCAATGGAAAGTAATTAAACATTCATTGGAGATTAACATTACACCGACCTGATCCATCCAACGTTAGGCTCATCGATGGCCGAATTCTAACATCCCCACAATTGGCTTCTAACAGTTGCCAATGATTTTTCATATATTTTTTTTCAAGCCAAACCACAGCGTCCAGCTTCAAAGTAAACACCATCTCACCAGCCTCATTTATTTTCTCCTCCAAATTGAATACCAACCCAAGAATCTCCACGTTCATGCGTCCCACTTCCCTTTTATCCTGATAAAAGTAATCCACATTGCCGGAAGAGAGACGTTTGTCCCTGTCTGAAGCAGAAACCTGAATCTTCTTGTAACGAATGGAAACGTACTTGTTCGGGTTCTCTAAAGAGAAAGCTAGAAGCCAGTCGGTGAAAATGGTATTGTTGTTGAAAGAGGCAATTTTGGAAGGAGTGATGGATTCAATCTGAATAATTGGAGCCCCGTTCTTTAAGTAGAAGCCGGGGAAAGAAAGGTAGATGAAAAGCACGAAGAGTACAAAGAAAGTGAGAACAAGCCATTTCATACATAGATGTAGCTTTCGATCAGGATTGTTGCACAGGATTGTTGCATGGCAATGGCTCTGGGGCAGTAGTAATAATGATGGGTTCTTCGTTACATGGTCGTGGTCGGAAGTAATCTGCTGGAATACCCATCACAACTCCGTTTCGATTTTCTGTAGCCATGGCTGGAAGTATTAGTAACTAGGAAATTTGAGGAGGAAAGAGGGAGATCAAAATGGAGGAGATTGGTGAAAAACTGAAACTAGGGTTTACAAAAACATTGGAGTAATTAATGAGACTCAGAGCTGCAATAAATGGTAAGTCTAATAATTTTTCTCAGAAAAAGGTGGGATTCTGTCACTGCTTTCCCAAAAAACTAAAATAGAGAAAATTGAACTTTTATTCATTTATTCAGATATATGGAAAGTTTTCATGTGGAGAAAATGGACAGTTACAGCAAACTTGTAGCCCATGCGTAGATCGGTTACAGAAAATGCAAAAAGGCAATAAAGGATGATGAAGGCAAAACTGTCACAGCTGGTTTCTTTGCAATTTTATTTTGGATTCATAGTAGTCTTTACACATATATCAAAACAAAAATTTTGCCTTCAACAAATATTGTCTTGATATACAAGATAAGAAAATGATAAATGCAACCCCACTTTAATTATTTTTAATCACCAGCTTCTTTCAGTTCATCTCATTAGTTGGTTTCTTGTGCCATTGTACTCGAAATGATGCGAGAACTAAACAAAGGAGCTCAAGAAATTTACAATCTGTATGGAAGTTAAAGAGTTATACACAAAAGAAAACTTCACCGCCGTTGCGGGATATCTAAAGCTTGTCGGTGAATCTGTTTGTCTCCAGCTGCCACTACGTTAAAGCCTAGAAGACAAAAACACTAGATCAGCAATGTCCTACCCGCAAAACTTTGGAAATGTTACCTTTAATAATAACTACTTAATCCAACATTTCAAGAGCATGGGCATACTTGTTGCACGTGAATCTGAAGAAGCTTTCCAGTCGAGCTGATGGCCTTTCCAGTCAGTAATAACACCCCCAGCAGCTTCTATAACGGGTACAAGTGCAAGGAAATCGTATGGCTGACAAAGAGGTTACAATCTTAATTAGAAAAACATACCAGATTACAATCTTAGTAATGCAATCAGTAGTGCTCTCTTTATGTCAATACAACAAGCCAAGAGAGCATAGGCATTGCAGTCCCTTATCTTTTAACTGGTATTTACTCTGTACATAATAAGAAATGCATATCCGGAGACCAGACTCAATGACAAGATCCACAGAACCAGAAGCCAAGAGAGCATAGGCATAGCAGTCACAGCCATATAACGGCACTTTCACCTGTTGAAAACAGAAGTCGAAAGGAAGCAAACTGAGAACTACGATAAGCAAACCCGAGTCGAGAAAAAAACAAAGATCAACGTAGATAAATAAAACTAAATTTTTTGAAAATACAGAAATCGAGCAAACAATCAAGACTGAGCTATTATAAAACAACTTTATAAAAGCAAACATGCAACACCCAGCATAATGTAAAAATGAAAGGAAAATTTTGGTATCTTCAATTGTGTTGTAAGAATATTGAAAACCAAGCCAAAAGAATCAAAACCTGATTCTTCAAAGTCTTTGATTTTGTATATTAGATTTCATTCTTCATACCTAGGCTTTTCCCCTTGATTATCTTAAATATTTTAAATTTTTTGACACATATTAGCAGAAAATCCAAAAGTTTTAAAGGCGTAAAGTGATAAGAATCAAATAAATACGTCAGAGGATAGGAGTCCTTTGAAAATTTATCTTATATCAACTAATGGGAAAATTTACACAACACCTTATACAATCCACTTGAAATAGAAATATAAGACCTTATCTCTAACACGGGGCAAAGACCTCTTCAGCATCTCCACTGAACAGATGTGGACTTGTGGTGTACCTAAACAAATAAAGAAAAAGTTAAAAAGGCAAGAGAAAAGAAGGTAAAAAGATATCAGCTTACTACTATAAAGAGGACTTGCATGCATGTAGTTATTACTCTAGTGATAAATGCCAAAATACTTTAAATTGGGATCACTCGGTTTACTTCCTGTAACACAATTAGTATCCCCAACCTTTTGAGTTTTCAGTTGAAATCATCAACTTTTCACATTCTAGCCATTGGATTTGAGAGCTGTAAAAACTAACCCCAACCTCTCTGTATCCCCCTCCCACCACCTCAAACACACACAAACATTGCAAGCCAAAAAGGAACCTACTAGAGACTCAGGTTTTGCCAGAAAACTCTATCATATAAACCTCAGAACATAACTTTGTTAAAGAAAAACTAGTCAAAGTTGAGGAAAATATACAAATATGCTTGTGACAATTCTGCACAAGCTCGTGTAGCCACTTCTTGTCCGTTCAATGTACTTTTCCTTCCACTTATTCCAATCCATCTTTCTCTAAGAATAGGCTGGTCAATTATACCAAGAATCTGAAAACATAGAAAAGATTAAAAAAAAAATTTAATTAAATGGAACTTATGATGCAGTCATAACTGAAGGTCAAATTAGATCCTTCAACTCTTATACAAGAGGCAGGCATGGTTGAAGATTGGAGGATGTTCTCAACTGAAGGCACAAACTATCAAAAACAAATTTAAGAACTGATAGATATTGTATTCTTAGACAGATGGCTAACGGATAAAAAACAGCAGAAAAGTATAGCTAAAGTGGACAACATATTCATGTCAACTGGTAAAATTAAAATCATCAAACGCACTTGATACAAAGTCATATGATTCCGCTTTGTGCAAGCTCAAACGACAATATTGCAAAACTGGTTTTATTATGATGACGGGGCTTTCATTACTAATAACCTTCAGTTACTGCTGAGCAAGCTAAGATTGCTCCCTCATGGGAGAGGGAAGGCATCACTTTCCCCACAAATCAACAACTATTAGCATAAGCCACAGAGTACTACAGAGGGTATAATTGAAACTTACCGGTTTACCTTTCTTCACCAAAGCAATGAGAGTACCAAACACTGGTTTTCCTGGAAATTAAGAAACATAAACTCACTTTAAGCAAAAATTCAACAATGAAACTACCATAATAATTTGAATAAAAACAGAACGAAAGAAAAAAAAATACCAGTAATGAAATTTTTAGTGCCATCTATTGGGTCTAAAATCCAAACATATTCTGCAGATTTCTCTTTACATCTCCAGCCTTTTTCCTCCCCATAACTACAATTACAATTCTGATAATACTCAGCAACAGGAAATAAAAAACAAATCTTTACGACTCCAAATGAAAATCAACCATTGAAACGATAATACAAAGACCCAAAACTCACATTGCATGAGAGGGAAAATTCTCCAATACAATCGAAACCATAGATTCCTCAGCTGCTTGATCAGCAATTGTCACAGGACCTATTCAATAACATCAACATAATTACACATTTTTTAAGTTTAAATTAAATTTTGAGGAATCAAATTGCTAAAAGACTTAGTCAAATCACCTTTATCAAGAATCTCGAATTTCTTCCGAAAATAATGGCGAATGACTTCACCGGCGGCATCGACAAGCTTGTTGCCGACCTCGGCAAACAGGTCGAGGTCGGTGTCGTTTAATGAGGGAGTGTCGGTATGATTAGAAAGTTTGGAGTAGGAAATCATGGGTTTTGTCTGGAGAGAAATTTGGGGGCTTTTGAAGGAAGGAAATGAGAGGAAGGGACTCTTTTTGGGGAGGATAGAAGAGTGAGAGAAAGGGAGGGATTTGGAGGGAGTAGAAAGGAGGAAATGGGATTGTTATTGAGATTGAGATTGGGAGAACATTTGGAAGGGAAAAGGGGTTTATAAATAGGCGGGAAGTCGAATGCAGAAAAGAGAAAGAGAGGATTTTCACGGCGGGAGACCGCTAAGAGAAAGAGAGTGAAGTGGAAGAATGAGAGGCGTATGCTTCGAGGAGCGGAGGCTGACGAGTTTTGCACCGTTGGATGCCCCTCCCTTCCCCCCTCTTGGTTAACTGTTTCTTTTCTTTTAAAATTACCAAAATAGTTATATATATAAAAAAAAAAAATTGGAGAAAAAAAATATCAACTGAAAGTCGAAAAGGATATCAGACTACCACTTTCTCTATAAAGTTGTTATTTCTGTTTGGAGAAAAAAAAACTGTCAAAGTGTACTGGAAGAACAAAATCCTGCTGGGAAAGTGCAAGGAGAAACATGCACCGAAAGCTTTAGTGTGAGTTTGATTAATTAAAACAAACCTGTTTTTTATTTTTATTTTTATTTTTGTAAAAAAAACAGAAAATGTGTATCTTCACTCAATTCAAAAATATTATTCTTTTATACGCACGCCTAGATGCTAAAATGCTCGTTATAACAAACTATGCCTTTGATATAATTTTAGTAAATTTTTATATATATTTTTTGTATTTATTAATATAATTGTGATAATTTTTAATATTGTTTTGAAAACCCTTAATACATTATTAATAGCTATTAATACATTTTTGTAATATTTATATTAATATTGATAATTTTTTATAAAATTTTGATAATTTTTAATATATATGAATATTTAAGAAATAAATATTTGAAAACTTTTGATATTATTTTGATAATTTTTTATATAGTTTTAGTAATCTTCTATTAATTTTGATCTTTTTTGCTATAGTTTTGGTAATCTTTTAAAATTTATGTATCTTTCAATATTATTTTTTATAATATTTTTATACAATTTTTATACCCTTTAATACACTTTTTAGTAATTTATATATTGATTAAATAAATACTCATGTATTGCTCCAAGTTAAATTTTTTTTTATTTTATCATATTTATTTATTAGTTTTTTTACTATAAAATTTAACTAAATAAAAAAATAAAGTTAAATGAAAATGACACGTAAATACCTCAATTTTTTTCTTAAAATTTATATAATTAAAAAATAAAAATGAAAAAGACGGCAACAACATAAAAAAAATTAAAATAAAAATAATTATAAAAAGTGACGCATGAACACTTACCACTGCCGTTGAGCTATCGTTGCTTGGTAAAAACAAATTGCATGGCACGTCTAGTCTTCGCCTCTTTGGGTAAATAGGTCAATGATTGATGGCCGACGCCCAAATGTTTATCGGTTACTATAATTTACCTCCACAATTGGCTCAAATCAAAATAATAAACAACAACAATAATGCTTGCACAATTTTTAACCAATGCAGGAGATAGCAACTTCAAAAATGCCGACATTACCTAAAAAGTCCAAATAGATCAAACATTTTCATCACCTAGTTGTTCAGCAAAACAAATCCATGTCTCGCCTTGAAGCACGTTGAATGAAATGGATAAATATACTAAAAGCCCTAAAGACAAAGATAGTTGCCTTCTGGGAAGATCCAGAATCAATTAGCCATACAGAATTTCATATGAATCAATTCGTGTATGAATCCAAGCAAGAAACAGATCAATCAGTACACAATAAGAATAAGATCACCAATGTTATGTTATATATTTTTCGTTCTTTTAAACTTTTCTTCATGATGAGCTATTCTTTCACCTATAATTTCCATCTTCTTCTTTACAGTGTGAGTCCCACAAGAAAATCGTGTCAGAACTTCAGAGTGATGTCAAGAATTCAAGATTGACATCCTGCACATCATGTGGAATCCCTATCCAACAGGATAGCAGAGCAGAACAAAACCAGAATCTGTATGGTAGAAAAATAACAAATCACTGTCATACTAAGTCCCAAGAGACCAAAGATTCAAACATTTATATAACGAGCTTTTGGTTATTTTGAGGTATCAAAATCGATTAAATTCCATTCCTAGCAATCAGAAGCAAAGACAGATTGTGGTCACTATTGTGAAAATGAGCTAAGAAGGCAGTTTTATTTTGTAAATCTAGTGAAAGGAAAACTGAATCTTTTCAGGCTTGTACTGAAAAAAGTAGTACATCAGTCAAGAAAAGATCCTCTCCAATACTTAAAAAACAGTGAAAACTTTTATTTAAGGGTCAATAATGCATCTTCACCTAAATCTATAATTGATATTTGTTCAAATCATTTTACTTTTTCAATTAATTTTTGTTTATTTTCATGTTCAATTTAAAATCATTAAATTTCAACCATGGAATAAGGTGAATGTGCATTATTGACCATTAGATAAATTACTGGAAACCTCCACTACTTAAAGAGGATCTTTTCCCCAGTCAAAGAGATACTAACCTCCTAACAGCAGACCCGAAGTTCACATCTTGCTAGATTTGGTCCAGAAAAATCCTTTTTTCCTGGTAGAGTAATTCTCTGAAGGGGAATTACAGCTCTTTGATCCAAAAGAAAAGTGTTTCCGCAGGAAAGGCCTGCCTAAGGAATTTTTCAAGCTTGAACTGGAGGCCTTCCCTTCATGTCCACAACTTTTCAGATGATTAAATACGACAGGATCACCGTCCATATCACTATCAACAACCCGGCTCCTTGATCTTTTGTTGATTTTAGCCTTAAAATCCATTTCTGCTTTAAATGTTTTCTCAGATAATTTATGTGCCTTCTTCTCTCTCAAACTACATATTGGGCAAGCAGGGTCATACTTGTCAATTTCAGGGGTCATATTTTCCAAACATTCAGCATGGTAAACATGCCCACAAGTTAGAACAGCAACAACAGAAAGCTCATTGCTAATAATAATCTTCTGACTGCTCCACAAAGATTTTTCAGATAACAGCTTTGAGCAAACACCACATGTTTGCAGATCAACAGAGGGGGATGCTGAGGTTTGGCCACTGGATTTGCTTATCTTCTCATGATGAAAACCCCATGTCTCATTATCAAAAGACCACCTTTCCCTACGAGATGTAGCCATGAGTTCAGAAGAGGCATGCATAGACCAACCGTCAGAAGAACCACCCAAAGAGCCCCCAGTTGATTCATTGCTCCATGAAGGCATCACTAGCCTTTCCTCACCGACCGAGTATCTATTAGGTGACTTTGACCCCAAAATTCGGTTATCAGATACTTGACGCAATAGATGATGTCCAGGAGATCTGAGAAGCCACCTTGTTGTAGTTGAACTGGTAGGATGCACATGACCCTGGGATGACAAAGGCGATGTTGCTGAGGAGGCAGATGGCAAAGAAAGTGATAACTTTGAGGGAGATGGGGCTGCAGGGGATTCTACCGATTCCTTCACCTGAAACACAATCCAGATTTCTCAAAAGAAGCCATATAAAGGGGAAGATATCACAGAGTTGGAAGCAGGTACGAAACTGCCTACAGGAAAGAGCTTTACCTGCACTAAGTTCACATCAATAGAGACATTTCTTGAAATAGATTGATCTGCATAATATATGTAAAAGAACATTAGATAGAACTCTAAGAGGACCTTTCTTACACCCTTTTATTAAGAGGATCTTTCTCATATGTAAAGGTTGGCAAACCAACAAAAATGATAGAATGACATAGCCAACATTTAACAGACGACCTGTTTCATTTTACCATTAGATTAACACAAACAAAGAGACATGTGAAAAACCTCAGGCCTCGTCAATCACCCCCCCCCCTCTTAAAAAAAGAACAAACCCTCTAGTGTTTAGACCCCATACCATACAATTGTTGGAAAAATTGTATTGCATTCTTTATAAAACTCCACGACAAAAACAAACTGAATTAAGATAAAGCATTCACAGACTAATCGCACTGTTTGTGTAAAATAAGGTAGTGTGGGACCATCCAAGAAGCAAAAGATTGCTCGGAGAAGAACAAAGAAAGGCCAGAAGCAATGACCTCTTAAGGTTGATTGGCCCATGATTGTCCAACCGATAGAGGGTAATCCTGTTATGTAGGCAACTCCTTAACTAAACAAGATTTTCCGGATATTACCAAGCAATGTAACCTAAGAAAATTACAGTAATAATGGTCCACATTGCAAAAAGAAAGACTCAGAAAATTTTCACATTTTAACTGAATTTGTATATTATTGCTCCCTTCCCGACATATAAGGGCCTGAGCTCAGCAATGTTCTGAATTTTGGTCAGAAGCACCTTTTTATGTCTATATTCCTAATACTTTTTCATTCACTGCAAGTTATTATCTATCTAATTCAGCTATGCGTCCTTATGGTAAAGTAATAACAGGCAAAATAGCTTAACGTTCAAAACTAACTTCAACATTTCCAAATACAGTATGATTCACACTAGTTCCAGCATCCCAGGAGTTTACCTGAAGCGGGAGTTCTCACTTGTCCATCAGTTCCTTCAGAAGTTGGGGACTTTTGCCATGTACGAGACTGAAAACTCTCAGACAGGCTTTGATCCACTGATGCACATGCCGATTCATATTTGATCTCTGATCCATCATTCTGATTAATTGCATCCGAAAACCAACTTATAGAAGTGTCTTCACCTGCTACATGCCCTCGATTATCCCAATGAACACTCCACGTCGGTGAATACCTTATATTCCTATGTAAAACCTCACTACCTGATCCATTTACTATAGTTTTGTCTCCAGCAGCAACACAACAAGCAGCCCCCATGATCCACCACACTAAAAACTAATTCTCTAACAGTATTCAAACAACCATCATTCACATGATCTGGAAAACAAACTCAACCAACATTACCATCAGCATTACCCTAGAAGTAAAGCCACCAGCCATGTATTCTTTGCTTACTAAGTTTAAAAAAAAAAATCAAAGAATCAATAAGCTTATTGATAAAATAGATAATAGAAAATAAAAAATACTAACAAAATTCGCACTTGACTATAAAACCTAACTCTAATCCTTACTAAATTAAAATTAAAATTAAAAAAAAAAAGAAAAGAAACCGAAATTAACCAAAACACCAACCAAAAAACCTTTAAAAAAAAAAAAAAAGAAAGAAAGAAATTACCATTATTTGGCTAAAATGAGCTTTAATCAGCTAAAAGCTAAGTTGAAAGACAAAGTGAGAGAGTTTATAGGCTCAGAATAACACTCTCAGTATCCACACCAACTCACTCAAAACTCAAGAGAAAACAAAAACAGTGTAATATAAAAACAGTTTACCAAAATATAAAAATAGCAAAAAAAAAAAAAAAAGCCCCAACCATCAATTTACTAGTCTCTATGGACTGAATAAGTGTGTGTCCATATATATTTTTAATTGGGAAAAAAATTCAAAAACCTAAATATAGTAAAACGAACAAAAATCGAAATCACTATAAAGGTCAAAAAGAGATCCGAAATAAATCCCTAAATAACAGTAACTCACGGTCAAAATAACCATAGCAAAAAATATATATTAAATCAAAATTAAAATCTAAAATATAAATGTTCCAGGAGCAAAAAAAAAAACGAAATTTAAAATTTTGATGAATTTAGATAGCATGACTACCAAACAACTCTTCCACATCGGAACAGGTAAAATCAGAACCTGAGGCAATCGAAACGTACCTGCTTGAGATCCGAAATACGACGGCGTATTGGAAATAGAAAGCCGAGTGTTTTGAGAGAAAGAGGTTAAAAAAGGGAGAGGAGACTAATATGCTGCTCTTTCTTTTTTTTTTCTCTTTTGTTTCAGGGGAGGGAGAAAGAGGGGCGGAGTGAAGTCGTTTTAGACGGTTTTATTAACGTCGTTAAAATTCGTTTGGCTTAATCCTTAATGCCGTTCTTTTGACGGAATTTGTGCTGAGTCGAGTGATACTTTAGTGATTCTGTGCTTATATTAACTTGTACCTTAGGAGGTTTTTTTTTTTTTTTACCCCAGATGCCTTGGGAGTATAATAAAAAAGAAAATTTGTGCGGTTAATTGAGATTTTTTTTTAAAAAAAATTTGTTTGGAAAAGAGAGCGAACAAACAGAAACGGTGGTTTCTTACGAGGTACGCGGAGTGCGTAGTACGCATTCTCGTGCTTTTCGCGTCACACGAAACGAAAGTACCATCATGAAAAATGTTTTATTTAATTATCATTTTCAACTAAAAAAAAATTATTGGTAAAAAATAAAAAATAAAAAAATTTTGTTTAAAAAGTCCTTATTATTGTTATTCTCACTCATAATTTCAAGATTCTTTCCCACTGGCTTGGACTGCATTATTTTTTTAATTTTTAATATTATTTTTAATTTTATCTAAATTAATTTTATCGTTTTTTCCTTCTTTCTATATTAAGATAGGTGATTGAGTGCAAACTTAAAAATAAAAGTGATTTTTTAAAGTCAAAATGTATTAGTTTCCAAATTTTTTTTTTGTTATTATCTAATTAAACTTCCAAATAAGCCAGCTAATTTAGCTTTGAACCTTTCAACATTACTAGGATAAAAAGTAATTAAAGCCAGTTTTATCACTGCAAGCTCGAGTGCTTTTCTTTTCGATATATGAGGATACCTAATGATTAATGAGTAGGTGAAGTCAAATATATTTATGACAAATTTTCTATTTTGGGTACCAAATATATCCTCACATTTGGCCAAACAATGACATTAACTTCGGGACAAATTTGACATTTTAAATAAAATATGTTTTAGACCGTGGTGGAACTTTGAAGCATTCGGAAAAATTCGTTTAATTATTAGATAAAATAAACTTATTTTAATTCATTTTTAATAAAAAAATTCAATATCCGCATACACAGTTTACATTAAAAAAGCAGTGCGACTTCGAAATTAAAATGGCTTCACATACATATCACATTATAAAGATGATACAAACAAGATATATTGGTATCTTAATCTGTTCTAATAAGAAAATTATACATAAAGCATATATATATATAAGTAAATTTTATTACACATAAGAAGCTGTAATTTTAGTATAGAGAGAAGCGTTACATATATTAAAATTCGAATTTCAGACCTATTGAATATCACATCTTAAAGATAATTATATGAATTAATTAAATTAAATTTTAAAATTTAATAATAATTATTTAAGCCTCAAAACTTAGTACTATAATAATATACTACATACAGAGAGAGTAGATGATAATTATAATATTGCTTCATTTATTTAAGTACTACTATATATGATGAAGCAGTCAAGGTCTTCATCAATTAGGTATGAGCTTGAAGGGAGGCTTGACAAGAGCTGGTGGTGGATCATAACTTCCATAGTCTTTGGCGTTTACCCTAAGCACCCTTTCATGGACATGATCAGTTGCTTCTCCACCGTCCTGTTATTTGAAAAAAAAAAAATCATAAAATGAAACAACCAAAATGAAAATTAATATGCCCTGGAGGGTGATTAAGAGAGAAGGAGGGATGGGATTGGTTAATATTTTTGAGCAGGTAAAACCTCCATTCTTGTGAGAGAAGAAAACAGTAATTTGATTTTGATTTACTGTGGACATGTGGACTTTGGTTAAAGAGTTAGGTTTATTTTGTTGTATTTTCTTCTTGGACTTGAGGACTTAATTTGGTTAAAGGATTTTTTTATTTTTATTTGTTTGATCGGTAATCTACTGTCCATCTGTGTTGACAAATTTCTGGTAGTGCTAGCAACCCTGGAAGCAGCTGGTTAAGCTTTCAAATCAAAGATAAATTAAGGAGAAAACAACGACGAGAGCTAGCAACAACAATGATAACTGGACCATGTTTACCATCCATAATCAACTGGTGCATGCCATAATTTTTGGTCACCGATTCTTCAAGCAGAAGCAATTAGTTTTTCAAGAGTAGTATTTCTTTCCATTGCCAACTTCCTCTTCCTCTAAAAAGTTGGTGAAAACGGCCACAGAGTGAATAACCCAAACTACGATACCATCTACTAGTAAATGAGAGAGTTTCATATATATATATATATATATATATATATATATATATTTGAGGATGGATAGATCAAATGCACAAACCTCAAAAGCTGCATCATCACCTTCCTCAGACAACATCTTCAGGAACTTGGATCGTCGACCTGCAAGAGCCAATTTCAGCATGTAAATGTTGAATCTATCCCAGTATGAAACATGTCATTTAACATGCAAAATATTTATTTGCATCTTAAACCCTAAACAAGGCTATATAGAAACTTTTTGTTCTATGAAAATTGGCAGGCATGTTTACACTGAAATCAAAGGTTGAACTTGCTATTTGGTTTAGATTCACGACATAGGTCATTAACTAATCTTACAAAGCAGCTGCTTTAATTTATTTTACTCGTTCTTGTCTACTAAAAGCTTCAACATTGGTCGACAAAGCGTGCATGAGTTTGCACCAGATTAAAGCTGCAGCAAAAGACATAGAAGAACGCACCTGCCAGAGAAGTTGATAAAAGAAAAGCTGAAACCAGGAGGAAAAGTAGAACAATCTTCTTGAAATGCATGTTTAAGCAAATTTATTTTTTACTAATCTTTCAAAGCTATTTTCTGATAGAGAATATATATATGTATATGAAGCAAATGAGGGCTATCTATCTATATCCCAAACATCATTATAATTACTAAAAGCGGCCTTAGAGATGAATCAACAAATCGATTGTATTTTATTGCGAAGAATGCTACTTTATTGTTTATCTAAGTTTAGAAATTCAAAAGCAAAGAAAAGGTGAAGGAGACCGCTTTTCTTTTGTTGGGGCACTTAGTCTCACAAGTTAGTGGGATTATATAGTTAATTAAAGTAACAGTAAAGAGTGTGACACCTAGTGGAAATAATCAAAACACCCTTCCCTTTTCTTAAATTATACCAAAGATTAATTCATTGATGATCATATTAATTGCTAGTATTTATTTTTCTTCTTTGTCCTTCATAAATTTATTTAGGTATTTAAATTCTCTTTAACAGCTCCATGAATTTTCTTTTATCGTATTGTAATATAATTTAATAATTATAAAATAATATTATTACACAGAATGAAAACTTTAAATTAAAAAAATAAAAATCAGGATTATGAAAAACTTTATCCATTTTAGAAATCCAAAAGTGATCCTAAATATTATGGATTAAAAGAGGGACATTTTGAGTTTAATTGTGAAACTATCAGGAGGGCTACAAGGGGAAACATGGGAAAAATGTCTGGCCAGGGTTTTGGGGGAGGGGCCTCCTAGTCTTGGGCCGTGCCTAAAGGATTAATTAGTTTGCCATTAAAAAAACATTTTGTGGAAAACTAGTGGTTTCAATTATCCTTAACGACAGTGACAACGCACCAAATACAACCGAAAGGACAGTGGTGGAGAATAAAGAGAAAAGAGGCACTGTATGATTTTTAATATGCTCTTTTGTCTTTGTTGTTCTCTTTTCTAAATAAGGTGGGGTTAGGACTTGGGACATATCCTCCCCTGGATTAAGTACATCCCTCCTCCCCTCTTAATAATTGGCCATGGATCAAGTTTGATTAGTAAAATGGTTGGCACAACAATAATATTATTATTAGTTGCTTGAATTAACATTAGCAAAGGAGGTAGAATGGGTTTATGTATACGTCATAATCTTAGCATGCTGCTTTTAATGGATTCTGAGTGTGATATCAGATATGTTTATGCTGTTATTTCATCTGTAGGCCTGTTATTTGGGAAAGATATATTCTTTATATTCTCCCGGAGGGTAAACTTGAATCTTATCAAAATGTATCAAACTTTTTATTAATGGGTAAAAAGTGGAGTTCGTGACTTTGATGAACCATAGAACATGCTAGTGGCCTAAGTCTTGCTCATTGTTGCAGATGATGACAAATAATCTTTTGGAAAGGAAGATTGGTTCATCTTTCCATGATAATTAAACAAATGTCCAGAGATTTGCTGATAATGTCTTTTTTAACTATTGCATTGTGATTGCAAAAGGTTGGCAGGGAATCGGTGCCAATTGTGCCTTTGATATAATTATTCTTCCACCTACTTGCAGCTAGATGAGCTTTGTAATGTAGGGGCAACTTGTATACCTGAGCATCAAAGTTAAAGTGCAAAAATGCCCTGGAAGAACTGAAATTTGGTAGAGGATCGAATATTCACACATCTGAGCAAGTTTACATTATGAAATTGATCAGCAAATAGTAAGTTACAAGCTTGTGTAGTATGGTTTTAGGCTCATTGAACTGCAATTAATTCTTGTCTAAAATTCGATATTCTATTGAATTAATACCCTCAATAAATTCGACATATTGTACAAGAATAAAAGCCAACTACTTTTAACACACCACAAACATCAACAACGAAGTGAACATCCATGGAGTATCAAGATGACTATGACGAGGAACCACCCCTTATTGCTTTGTCATTTTCACGTCGCAGGCTGTTTTCTCTACTATAAGCGGCTTTTGCTCCCTGAGAAATTGAAAATGGAACATAAATTCCTGGGAGATTATGAACCAAAAATATTAATGAAAAATAATTACATATTCCTGGTACCCTGTGCCAGCCCGTGACACATATGCCATTTGAAACAAAACTCAAAATCAAGCTGAATTACGAGACTCATTGGAATGACTGTAGGGTTTTTTAATTTGTGGAAGGGAAAGTCATACTTACTTGAAAAATTGCTCCAAGTTTTCTCAACCCTTTTGCCCGTAAAAGCAGAACATCCTTGGATACACTAGGGTCTTTAAGTACCTGGATAACAAACATTATTTAAATTCTTTAATCAAGATAAAGTGAGTTAAAATAACACTAGCATGTTTATGCAATAAAGCTCAAGTCACTTGGCATCTGCAGGAGAATATATCTTTGTAGCTAATTCAAATTGAATACAGAAAGACAAAAAGAGCTACAAAGCAACCCAAACAAGGCATGCTTGGCAGCTCCTCTAAAAGGTTATATAAGTGGGTTAAAACATTTTAATTGCAGCGTGAAGAAAAAATGTCAATAACTTCATTGGGGTCATCATTATACCAATAGAGGGAAAGCGAAAAAATTTTGTGTTCTTAGTTTTAATGGATGTTACTGTAAATCATTTAAAGCAGAGCAAACAAAATAAGTTCAGTTACCAGCTCCAGCTCCATCTCTATCTTCTAATCTCAACAATTTCAAGCTATAAAGTTAGCTAAATCTATCGATACTTGCTGTCTTGCTCATAATAGTAGGTTTGTCGAGATGGAATTATTATAAAAGCCCTGAGCCCTCCATATGAAATTGGAGGAACCCATCCTGACAAAATTCATTGCAGACAATCATCTTTCCTTACCTACCCATAAATACCCATACCCACATAAAACACACGCAAAAGACAACACAAGTGCATTGCTTTTAGGTATGAACCACACTGATAAAGTTAAGGAAGAAAATGTTTTTACTCACTGCTAAGCAGACATGAGATAAAGTTGATTCAATATCAACCACATTGATCTGCCAAAGGGATTGAAGCATGGCATCCTTTTTATCTTCAAGGGCTTTCATTATGTTCTCTTCATTGCTTTCTCCTTGGTTCGCTTTCTTCAGCTCATCTTGTATCTGGATTAAACTAACAGCACCTACAAGGAGATGCACATACAAGCTGGGTTCATTTGAAATTTCGTAGTTGAATTAAAATGGAAAGGCCCTGAATGTCATTAAACAAGATCTAGATCTTTAATTGCGGAATGTTGTACCTGAAGCTGCCATTACTTGAGATTTTATGCGGTGCCCTTTATCACGCACCCATTCTGCTAAAAAGGGTACCTTCATATAACGCTTGTCTTTTCCAAGTTCCTTTGCAGCTTTCCTTGTGTAAATGTACCCAATAGTATGTAGCATAGCTTCACCAAAAGCTGAAAGTGGTGGAAAATTCAAATTAATGGCAATAATAATAACTAGGAAGCAAAATGAAAGCAGTAGTTATCTAGCATGTTTATCAAGCAAATATGAGAGTAAATTTTGGTCTAAAAGTACTTAAATCAAATCTAATAAAATGTTGCATCTTGTTCTTCCTTTTTTTTTGTCTCTTTAGTAAAAAAATCGAAAAGTTTATACTGCATTGGTTTTCTCGTTCTTAGGAATAAGTCAGTGACTACAACGGGTGAAGCATTTTGGCAAAGAATGAGAAACTGAAAATGTTTTAGAGAGGTACTAAATTCCTGAACCTGTAGTCTTGTATGGTAGTAAGCTAAATAAGTTACAAAAAATAATATCATAAAAGTGATAACTTATAAGATAAATGCATGGTTTTTTTAACCATTGGTCTTAAACTATTACTAGTATTGATTGGGCCGGACCAAGCCATCAGGCTAACTTTAAATTTAACTGGAATTCAACAAGACTAATATCCAAACAGATTTTGAAAACTGACAGACCTCTTACTCAAAAATATTTGAATCATATTCATGTAAATTCACAAGGACTATGGAAGACATCTATAGTAAATACCTCTAAAGTATAAAATAACCTTTCTACTATTATTAGTTTAGGAGAATATAAGAAAAAGCTTACCAGCTTTTGAAAGTCGCCGTGCTTCTGAATTTGCCCAATTACTGAACTCATCAGTTTGACCTTCAACAAATGGCTGAAGGCGATTTTTCAGTATTGTGATGAGCTTTTCTTCCCTTTCTTTCTGAAGTGCCTGCATCATTAAAAAGGAAAAAAGGAAAATAAGTGTAATTGAAAGAAAAACATTTAGACGTGAAATAAAACTTCTGAAAAAGGTTTTTACCTTCATCTTTTCCTGAAGTTTCTGCATACAAGCTTCCTTATCTAGTGAATCATCTTCAATTTCAACAGATGACAAAGAAGCCAGTGCTAGTTGGCCAACATATTCCTCAAAGAATTCACTTCCAAAAAGCATCCCAAACACAGCAGAAGGATCCAACATGGAGTCCCTGTCACAAAAAAAAGGTAAAGTAATTAACCGCTACGAAGGTAATAAAGCTTGCTTGTAAACCTGATGAATATAACATCCTAGCGAATTAGTGTCTAAGATAATTTTATGGATGAACATAACTTGTTTGGAGTAACATGATAATCTATTTTTCTTCTTTTCTTTTTCTCCCTTTATAGGTTTTGGTAGTTGTACCGGTATTTAACTATACTAGAGGTAAGATTTTTGAGAAAGGGGAGAAGCGAACACAACTTAGATGAACATTGATCTGGACTTAATGTTGGCTGCATAAATTCTTTTAAACCATTTTACTCTATGTCGATCAATATCCCCTTTATGTCTGGGTAATTAAATCCATCAATAACATATTTATTCTCAACTTTGTCAATTCTGCTACTTCTTTCGGAATCCATTGCATGGGGTTATTTCGTAGGTCTACATTGAAAATATCCAGACCATTTTGAATAGTAGTCCTCTTGTCTTATTTCTAGTAGAATCACTCTTATCTTCAACTGGATATCTGGTCCAGCTTTCATTTTTCCTTGTGCTTTTCTTCATGCACTATTGGCATCTCCATCTCTACTATGCTTAACTTTGAAAAACATAGGAGACCTAAACAGATAAAACTGCAACATTTTTCCCTTAAATGAAGGGCTCTGCACAAGACTTAAAAACTATGCACTTGTATTTGGCAGCCTGAGACTTTCAGGGCTGAACCAAAATAATGATCCCATTATTTTTACTTTTACATTTAAAACTTATTTTCCCATAAAAATAGCTATAATTTGGTAGCCTATTTCTAATTTAGCACTTTGATTAAAACAAGAAATCAAAATATTATTCAACTTCAACTTAATAGCTTTTTCATAGTCTTCATGATGTTTCATAGAATAAATTCATCAGTTAAAAATCAAACATACAAAAAGGGAAACATTGTTTAAGAATTAGGACTGTCAATGTGTATGTGAATAAGTCTTTTTGTATATTCAAAAACATGTGCTCCTAAGTCCTAAGCAATATTTAACTGTGAGGTACATAACTATCTTTTATATAAACAGAACTTTCAAAATCATACTTAAAAGCATATAAACTTACGGTTGTAATCCTGCTTTTCCATATTTGTCGTATGCTTCACGCTTTTCATGATCACTTAGAACCTGATAAGCCTCACCAAGTGCCTTCACATATATCAAACACTGACAATAAGTACCAAATACAAGACATGAAATGAAGATGAAAACTATGGTTTCATTACTATGGCTTTCAATTTGAACAGTTAAGATGACTTGAGAAACATGTATGGGCAAATTCAATACAAATACTGCTTTAAAGTATTTAAAAACCAGTGGTAGAGCTATGGATTCAGTTCCTAATGAGGCCTGCTGGCTCTTCTATTTCCCTTTAGGAGACTTTTCTATGAATCTACAAAACTATATTTTCAGAATTGACTAAACTAGTCAAAAGTGTTAAATCTGATAGCTTACCTGAAAATTTTCGGCAGCTTTTGGATCTCCAGGATTTTTATCAGGGTGAACTAGCCTTGCCTGAAAAATACCACATAATAGAATCATATAACAATAATACATAACAAATTTCATTACCCAAATCTCATATTCTTGTTACAGTTTCAACACAAACCCATTATAAAACTCATTCAAAGGAAAACTTTTTCATCCAAAAAGAGTCCAACCAATAAGGCCAACCTTATCAAACATAGATGCATTTTTTTTATGATTACAGATTCTACAACCAGAATATAGTTCATTTATACTTCAAGGCATTGCTGAAAAATGTTTATAAAACAACATAAACAAGAATAAAAGAAAAGTACTTTCTAAAAACAAATGCAACCCTAATTCTTGTCAGACAAAGGGATAAACTCTTTTCCCTTCAAGCACAGCACCAATCTCATATCCGTTTCTGAAATTTTACATATTTCAAGAAACCCACAAATCTAAACATGATGGAGATAACATGAGAAACTTACTTTGAGGTAATAAGCCTTCTTGATTTCAGCTGCAGATGCATCAACATTGATACCCAATACATCATAATATGCTGTGTTTTTCACCATTGGTATTCTCTTGGCACTGCTTTTAGCATTAGAATTAGGCACCCGAATACAACCAATCAGTTTCATGATAAACAAAACAACAACAAAAACAAGATAAAAAACTAATGAGAAATTTCTCAAAAACGGAAAAGCTTAGAGTTTAAACAAAATGGGTATCCACAAAAAATGACAATAAATGAATCTTTCAGCGATTAAAACCAAGAAATATATGGCATAAGAATCAATTCAGATCTCTAAATTTCAGGGGGAAATACGCATTATAAATTCATATTTAAAAAGAAAAAAAAAAAAAAAAAGAATCTTGAACTCACATGTTATGGAAAGTGAGATGAACTGGTTAAGGAATGGTTGATGATTTGTAAAGAAGCTGAAGATCGCTATAAACCAGGAAATCAGCCACCAACCAGAAAAGAAACAACCTAAACTAAAGGCAGATTATATTTTGGCAATCTCAATTTAAAGAGATATATAAAGAAGACTACGTGGCGGTACATGGGTCTTTTAATACACGTTTACAAATGTGTCAGCCAATAAAATGTTAAGTAACGACGTCCCATGTTGTCTGAAACCACATCGCTTCCTGTGCTGAGTAATTGTGAACATGTCGCGTCGGAATGGACAGAACAACAGCGTTGTACTTTCTGGAGGAAAGAGAAGCTTGAAAGGAAGCTTCGACGGGCCAGCCCAGCCATACGCGTTCCTTGGCCATGTTAGAACTCATTATGGCAGACTGCCATGGAAAACTTCTTATCCAAGGTTTAGATTAACGTTACACAAATTTATTCATCAAATTTTTGTCCCGAAACCAAATCGAACCCTATCACCCCTAAACAGTCTGAATGGCAGCCTGATTAATGATTATGGGTCTAACAAATATAAACGAGACAGGCTCTGAAAGTTATGGGCCTGTGGCTCTTCCCTTCCAAAAGCCAGCTTCCATTGGGGCATTAGCAAAGACCCATGTCTAGTTATCTCAGAGCTTCCATTGGGCTATAACAGCATGAAGGGCCCAGCCGACCCATGATTAGATCTAAGATTACATGGTCAAACGCAGCTGGTTGTGAGAAAATTTTCAGGAGGTTAAAATAAAAATATATTTAAGATCTCCTTCATTGTTTTTTTAGTACTAAGATGTTTAATACACTGTCTCATAATATTTTTAAATTTTACGCATAAATTTTGAATACCAATATTGATAATATTAATGAAATTTTTATGAACAAAAACATTAATTCTTTTTAATATAAAAAAAATGGTAACATAAAGACAAGAGAATGCATCAATTAAAAATGATTGACAATGTGGCAGTCTGTAACAGAAGTTGCAGACCATGCATATTGACTCAGCTATTGTGGTATAATGGTACTATCATACTAAAAATTAAATAATGATTCTGATTTTTGGTCAAATTTTACTTATAGAAACATTCACGAGAGATGAAATTGGAATTTTAAATCTTAATTCCTCTTAAAAATGAGAAACAATGGTTTAATTAATCTTAATCACATATTTAAATGAATAATTACTAATTATTGAATACTTGGTGAATTTGAAGCTGTGTGGTAATTAATTTACATTATTAAACAATGGAATAGTTTTCGCATGTCACATATGGCTCGTTTAAAAGTATCAAGCGGATTTGTTTTTACAAATGATGTTAAAGCTTGAAAATAAGGAAACTCGAAAAATAATTGTAAATGTTAAAGATTTAAATTTTAAATTTATTAAAAATTATTTTTTAAATATAATTATATAAATCAATTAAATTAAACATTATAATCTTTTTTTAGGTAAAAAAAAATTCGAGATAGATAAACTATTCAGTCCTCCAAGTAAATGTAAGATGTATCGTATCTGACAGTTTAAGACAGGTAATTATAAATTATGCATTCGAGATGATTTCAATTAATGACAATCGATAAGATTTGAATCCAAGATCTCTTCATCGAAAATGATAAACTTTAACCAATTAAACAATTAAACATTATATTCGTAACCTAAAGAAAATCGAAAAAAAAAAATACCTAACAGCCAATGCCCGGGGAGCGTTTGAATATGGATGGTCAGCATATTTTTCTGTTTTATGTCTACATCAAAACTCATGGCTATGCAATTGCGTTGAATGCATGTTAGGTGAAGAATCGAAGAATATTGGGAGGTTCATCATTCATGTGTTTTATATTAAAAAAAATGGGGCCGCACTCTTTGTAAGAGAACAGAATATTATCTATCTCAAGCAATTCGATATCATTTTTATGCTTGATTGAAATTCTATTTTCCACTAAAGCCATTAAGAAGCTAATATTCCCAATGCTAAATAAGGAATGATTTTTTGCAAAAAATGTGGTTAAAACTTAAAATCCAAGATCGATTTCTCTTTATCTCTTCCCTCCTCTTATTGATATATTCTTTTTTTTTTTGTAAGAAAATAATCCGAAAGTAAATAAGCTGTTCAGTCTCACAGGTCAAACAAAATATGTTGTACCTGACAGCTTAAGATAGGTAATTACAAATTACGCATTCAAGATAATCCCAACAAGTGATCACCGATAAAATTTAAACCCAATACCTCTTATTCAAGAAAGACGAACCTAATCAATTGAACTAACTACTTGTTAGTTCTTAATGATATATTTAATATTTAATTATAATGTCATTTACAAACGCACCGTTCATGCCCAACTAATAAGAGTTAAATTAAGAGTTAACTCATTTATGGCCCTTTCTTTTGTCATTAAAATAATATTTTATTATAATTTATAAATAATTCGTAACATTAATTTTTAAATTAATATTAAGGCGATAAAGCCTTAGAATATAGATTTCATCATCCTTGTTCCCTCTTTAAAGCTACGGGTCTCTGATTTAATGTGCAAGTACAAATTTTTTTTCTTTATTAGGGTTTAATTAGATTAGAAATGGAAACCAGACCACCATGTCTAAATGCGCCAACTTTTTTTTCTTTAAACATTTTTGGGAATAAAAAGATTTGGATGAAAAGAAATTATTTTATTTTAGGATTAGGATAAGATGTAATCTCAATCAAAATTTATATTAAATTTATATATCGTCCATAAAAAATTATTTATAATAAAAATTAAATTTAACTAAAGTTTACAAACAAAATATTCAATTCTTAGCTGCTTTTCATAACTTTTCTTTGACTTTATTATTATATGCGGTTTTGCACTTCTTATACTTAGTGGAATATAACAAAGAAATGATGTTACATCCATAATAAATATCATCGTCTTCACATCACGTGTTGAGAATCCATTGGTGCAATAAAGATCGATGTGGTAATCTTTTAATTTTTTTCACCTAATTTTGTCTGGTTTCCCTAATATGAAATAAAACAAGGAAGCAAAATTTATAATCTTAATGGTTGATTGTCTTCCACTTTTTAGCCTAATAATAAAGAAGTCTTAGAAAGACACAAGGGTTTGGGTTTGAATCTAGTCATCTTCTCTCTATTTTAACAAGCTTTGCTCTCCTATAATTAGGTCTTAATTTATTTATTTAGTAAGGTAAATATTAATACCAAGACATATTTATTTATTTGATATGTGATTATTATTTTTTTTAACAAAATATGATCATTATATCTAAATTAAATAGAATCGAATCTTATTTTTTAAGCAGATCATGTATCAATTATTAATTAAATACTCGGATATTTGAAATTAATGACTTAAGTTCACCATCTTACTTGTGTCAAGTGTTATATAGACTTATAATAGTAGTAGTAGTAGCAGCATTTGTTAAAAGAGTAGGTGGCATGGTTTGAATCTCGACCTTGACTCAAATGTGATAATGTCATGTTCAAAGGGTTGCTTATTTTTTCTTTTATTTTTTTTTTTCTTGTGTTTTGTTTTGATTATTGATTGCCTAACATGGTTACAATTGCTAGCTAAAAACATTAGATCGTGACTAAATAATTGCAACCCTTTGTCCCCTTTCAATGTTTTTGCAATTTTATGGAAGAAAATTTGTGGTATTAAAAGACAAAAATGGGCCATATTTGACAAATGTCCTTGGAAAAAGAGAGAGATCATGTTCAATTATTTTGTTTTGTTGGTTCCCAATTTTTTTGAAATGGGAAATGCAAAAAGTTATGGGAATCTAAGAAAATTAGAGCCTCTATTTTTCTCTATAAAAATCAGGTTCAAATAATGGAGCCCATAAGCCAAGTTAATTTCCTTTTGGCTTTTTCTCCATTTGTATGAGGCAAGTGCTTAGCTCAAATTTCCTTTTTCCTCCTGTGGCTTGCTGTCTGTTTGTACAAGTTAAGGATCATTGGCTGGCAAGGCATCTAATCTAAATGGAAGAAAGGCTTCCATTATGCATTGTCCACAATTTGAAACAAAGTATCCATTCTGCTTTCTTTTTTAAGACTAACACTTTTGCTTCATCTTTTCTTTATGAAAATAATTCTAAGTACTAAGAGTTGAATATCAAATTTACGAAATGTTAGTGATAGCATGATCAACCGGCATTAAACTCTAGATTCTTCTTTATAATTCTTTTCATTTCTGCTTACTAAGTTTTCCTGTTAATGTGTTAGCCTTTCCTTTTATGGGAAATCCAAAGAAAGACCATTGTTAATTTTGAGATAAGAGAACAGGCAAATCTCGGAGAATTAATATTAGTCTATTCAGATATCATGTGATTAAGTACTCGTACTGAAGACATTGTCCCCAGCCCATGCGACTGGGTTTCACAAATGCAAGAAGAGTACTCCCACTATTATAACCTCCCTTAAGAAATCATGTCTCCTTTTCTTTACTTTTCATTCCATTACTTTTTTTTTTAACTTTAAATCCATCTTTCCATCACTCTGCTATAGCTTTACCTATATTTTGATGTATTTAATAAGCTTTTTAAATACTATTTTCTCTTCTTTTATCTTTCTTTTTGTGCTCCAATCCCATGGGATGTCTCTTGTTTTTCCCTTTGCTTCTCTTTCTACAAGCATTGAACTTTTTTTTTTTTATGCATGATGCTGTTAAAGATTGAACCTTGATTATTGAAATTAAAAGCTTAACATTTTACTAACAAATCTCACTTCTATTGGCCACAAGCATTGAACAATTGTGATCACTCACAATGACAATAAATAACTACAACTAGACTTTATAATTTGTAATGACCCCAGGATTTGAACATGAAAAATGGCAATTAACATTCACTGGAAATGAAATTTTGAGTACAGATTTGATAACAAATTGCAGCTACAAAATTAAACTATGTTCAAACATTGGTGTGTGTATATATATATATATATATTTCAAAAAAAAAAAAATAGTGGTCAAATGAATAGAAGAATCAGAGAGCTCGAGCTTTCAAGTTTCTTCTGGTTTTATTTGCCATGTGCAGAAGCAGAAATAGTAGGTGTAGGAGCTGAAACTATTCTAAGTCTTAATGTTGGTTTTGACCAAAGTGGCTTTCAAGGACATGAGAGAGACATAACAGGCTGGACATGTTTGGAATTGCTCCTTCCACAAAGAGTTAAACCCTGCAAACGCATCTCCATCGATCTTGTCCAAGTGTGAAAACGTGTTTCTGTTACTTAAATCTTCATTCAATTTCTGCACTTTTAGGAGTTTTCAATTTTGTCTTTTTTAATTATTAACTCTCACTCTTAAGTTTACAAGTAAGGCATGAGATGACAGATTTCGAAGAGATGGGCATAAACATCACTCTTTGTTATAGTTTAATTTGGAAAATATGATGGATTCAATGTTAAAACAGCATTCCATCGCAATGAAATTCATTTCTACTGCCCTTCCAAATCATTTGATTTTATGAGCAACGTAGCAAATAATGCTCATTTTATCATATGTCAACCAAGGGTTGAAGTGTGAAAGCAACTAGAGCAATTGAAATTCCATTAGTTTACAAATCCTTAAAAAGCAATCAAGGTTTTCTCTGTTCAATTAATCAGAAAAAGAAAGGGGTCACCATCCACAACTATAGACTTCCTTCCTGTTCAAAATTGTCAAATCCATTCATGTAAAACGAGGTAACAAGATTGGTGCGGTAATTATTTTTTTGGACGCAAACAATATTCAACTATTATCAGGTGAAGAAAAAAGAAGCAAAATAAAGAAAACAAATTAAAAGTTGTGGCCATTATTCTAAGCTCTTTGATATTTTCTTGATATCAGGTCAAACAAAAGAACTGATGTCAACTACAAGAGCTTTCACACCAGAAGTCGAAACTGCCCATAAGCTAATACAAAGCTTACATCACATAATTATAGTTAAACCCCATTTACAAACCAACAACCCCAACTGTCCTACACTTTGCCCTTATATATCACCACTGCCCACCGGTAATCATATCTTAAAAGTGACTCTGAACGAACACAAAAAGACTAAAAATTAAAAGGACTCTCTTCTCTCTTGATCTTTTTTTTTTAGATTTTACTCCCTTCGATTGAATTCCAATAAGCTCATGGAGTTTAACATTAAAACATGTTATCCGCAGAGGCCATGATAGGCTGATTCAAGTAGGCCAAATTGAATGGGTTAAGGAAGCTGTCAGCAGGCTCAGTGAAAGCAAAGTTTGTTGAATCTTCAGCATCAAAATTACCACCATTGCTTCCATTCAGGAAACTGATGATCTCATTCAAAGACTGTAATCTGTGGCTAAGCTCATTGACTTGAGCTCTAAGCACTGAGTTCTCAGCCTCAACATTCACGTAAAGCTGCGTGGTGATGTTTATACTTGTAATGAACTGATGATTCTCTTTCCGCAGCTGAGTTACCTGAACCATGAGATCATCCAAATGCTTCTGCTTCCTCATCCTGGACCTCCTTGCTGATTCTCTGTTTGATATCATTCTCTTCCTTTTCCTTTCATCCATCAATGCCTGCAAATCCTCCTCAGACCCTGAGTTTGTTATCAAAGTTGATGACCCTGAAGATGTAACACTGGAGGGAGCCGTGGAAATTGCAGACACTTTGGGCAGATTTTTTTAACTTTTTTTTAACACACAGTGAGTAAATCAAGATTCAAGAAAGAGATAATTATAATAATAGCAGGACCCAAAGTAAAATAAAAACACTCCTAATAATGATAAATAAGGCAGATAGATAGTAGTAGTAAATTTATTTATAGATTATACACTATGTAGTAGAAATTAAAGCCAGAATCATGAAACGTAATACAACCAGTAGAGGAAAACAACTGAGAATGATTGAACAAGATGGGTTCTGCGAAAGAATGTGGAATTGATCATAAACCCGGAAAAAAAGATTTCACTGAGAATTGGAGACATGAATCTCAAACATCAAGAACAATAGATTAAGCATGAAGATATTGCTGTTAAAAAACCTCTCCTTGGAAATTAAAAAAAAAAAGACTTTAATACTTCTTGAGACGGTCTCAAGAACACCAACCTAGCAGCTCCAAAAGAAAAATAAGATAAAAAGGAAAGATTTTTAATGGTAGGTAATGAACTTTGAACCCAAAAGAACTCAACTTTGACTTCAACAAGAAAACCCCATAACTTGGTTTTGGATCAAAGAGAAGAACATGTAAACAGCTTGGGTTGAAAGCTGGAACTCAAGATACATATAAAAAAAAAAAAGGAAAAAAGAAAAAATTCTAACAAGGGGAATCTGGAAAATATGCTAAAGGACTGATAAGAGAAGGGAAGAAAAACTAGAAGAGTTCCTTAACTGAATGGAGGCTGATTTTATAGAAGAAAAAAACAAAGCCAACAAGTGGATGAAAATTTGATTTAAAAAATAGAAAAATGTAAAAAAAGAAAAAAAAATTAGATTGAGAAAATGAAAGAAAAAACAAATAAAGCAAAGGAAAATAAAAAAGAAAATAAAAAGTTTGGAATCTCCCCATAGACAAAAAAGTTGATGAGACATGTGAGGTGAGGATGAGAGATATGGCTCCACAAGTAGATACATCTAATGGGAAACTATCTCTCAGTTTATATCATGGTGGGTAACTGTAGTTATTTCATCAAACTGTTACTGCAAATCAAGCATTTTACATACAAATTCAGAGGTAGAAAATTGATAGCTCACCCCAAAATAGTAGTAGTAATGAAATAAGAAATTTGTTTAAAAAATTTTGAAATAAAAATTTAAGTATAAAATTATCTTAGCATTTATAAGAAAATTGATTGGAAGTCTATTGATTATGTAACATATATGATATCATGTTAATAATGCTTGATTTTAAAAAGGAATTATTATTTACGTCTTATAAAAGCTTAGTTGATAGTATGATAAAGAAATAATGACAGACTTATGTAAATAATTTTTTAAAATTTATTAATAATCTGTGCTTTTCACCTGTTTTTTAAATAAATTTATGAATGTCATATGTGTAATTTGAATTTTTTATTTTTTATTATTCCTTAATGAGTATGAGTCATTTTATTAATTTTGTTAATAAATTTTAAAATTTTGATAGTGTATCTAATAATTTTCTTATAAATTTCTTCTAATGTAGTTGGCATGAAAAACTCTTGACCTATTTAATATTTATGTTCCTTTTTATTGCTGATTTTATCACTTTTTGCCTTATTTTATAATAATTCTTAAAAAGTATGATAAAAATAAACATAAATGATATAAAATAAAATTATATTAATTAATAAAAATTATTAAACTGCAAAAAGGCAACATTTTGCTAAAGTAACTTCATATGTTATTGAAGACAAATTATAGTGCTAAGACGTTAATTTGATCAGTAAAGAATTTGATTTTTTTAATAAAATTTTAATTTTATTTTTTATGAATAAAAAAATAAATTTAAAAGAATTTATCTCTTTTATAAAATTTAATTCAATTCGATTCTGAATCAATCAAGATTTATATTAATTACCGAATTTCAAAAGATTTTAAATTAAAAAATAAATTATAATACTAAATTTTCTTATTCAAATAAAATATTCTTAAATTTTCAAATTTCTCCCTCCTTCCTTTTAAGTTTCTTCATATTTACCCCTAAAAAAATTAGAATCAATATGTTTTACATACATTGATCTAATTGGAGACCCTCACTTTAAAAATTTTTAAATTTGAACTATTGGGTGCTCTTAGTTGAGAAAAAACTTTTTAAAAAATTTGTCAATTTTTGTGTGATGTTATAATGTATATTTGATAAGAAAGTTATATATCCAGACAAATATTGGGAAACAAAAAATAATATTTAAATTAAAAAATTAAAAAAAAAAAGTTTCTCTTAGTACTCGAGGAAAAACAGCCCAAGATGTTACACGCTTCCCCAAATGCTGCCTATTTTTCAAAAAAAAAAGAAAAAGAAAAAGCCTGTACCAGCTCTGATCTTTTGCTTCATTCACGATGTTTACCTCTGTCCATTTAATTTAATATTGTCGCAGTTCTATTTTTTTTTAGAGTATTTTCAAATTATGTCATTTTTATTATTATTTATATAAATTTAAATTTTTAAAATTATAATATTAAATTTATTAAAATTATTATTTTTTAACTCTATAAAAATCAATACATACCGAATAATATGGGACGTAATGGTAACTCACTGCTGCTAAATTTGGACTCTGAGCTTCCCATATAGGTCTTGGGCAATTAGTTATCAGTAATATTATAAAATGTCTAAACCACCCTTTGAATGATCCACATTATATGTTCAATGATTTAGGGCAAATCTGTCTTTCAAATTGTATGCCATGAAGATCCTTTTCCAAACTTACTGCTTCTTCACTTTCACTAGAGACTGCGAGAACCAAATTGGAAAAAATACAAAAAGTAAATTATTAATGAATTGAAATTTTGAAATTTTTTTAGAATTATTCAAATGGTCAGAATTTTTTTGTATTAATTTATTTTTAAATTTTTATTTATTTAATTAAAAAAATTACACGTATAAATTCTTTTAAATTTGTAACCTTTAAACATCGATCCCAATATTATACTAATTAATCTAAAGGTCAATAGTCTATCTCGTCGGGGCGTAACAATAGTAAGTATGGCTAGAAAGAGTTTGGACCAAATAAGGTTTTCTCACTTGCAATACTGGATGCTGTGCGTTTTAGGTTACTAAAATAATTCCAGCATGTTGACGTCATAAATTTTTCTGTGCACAAATTGACAATTTTTATTTTATTTTAAATTTAAAATTTATTGGTAATTGAATCACTTATTCTAAGATGACTCGAAAGCAGGATATGATTTCCGTCTTTTAGGACGAATAAAATACGACATTTATCTTCAAAATAAAAGTTTTTTTGACTCTAAATAAGATTATAAGATAACCTTGGCCTAAACAGGAAGGAAATTTTACAAAACTCAATTGTAAAAGTGTCGCTAATGATGAAAACAAATAGTGACGAATGTTTAAAAAATGGTTAATCGTTTTTCCACCCAAAAAAAATGTTTAAGAAATGGAGATTAGTGGAGTAATAGTATTTTTAGCCTTTAAATTAGCAGCCAAAGAATTAAAGTTAGACACGCAACATGTTAGTCACTGGATTATATGGTCCTAAAACTTGTCTTTGGACGGTGCGTAGTGTGCTGACTTTAACAAGTAATGATAATGCAAGTCAATAGATGGTTTATGTGGTATATATAACAGGGATTATTATTTCATACGTAATTTAAATTTAATGAATCAAATATAATTACATGTGTTATGCCTAATTTCTTTAATTTTCATATTCATCAAATTAACACATTCTCGATTGCTACGTCACAATAAAAGAAGATGGATAACCAGGTTCTTTGCCACCACACAACTGGAGCTGCTTCTTTATGGGAAGACAACTCGCCTGACATATCAACCAACGATTCATCAATAAATTATTTCAAAATATGCCAATTTGTATAAAATAATTAAATGTAATTCATTTTAACTCGTGAATCTTTCTAACATATTCACTAACGTATCATCAATAATTTATCTCACGTTATTTTAATTTGTATAAAATTATTAAATACAATTTATTTTAGCTCATGTAAATTTTCCTTGAATTTCATGTAAACTCCCCATCAATTATTACCTACTTACGTCATATTATTGTCCCATGCCTCACATGTATCTAATATATTCTAAAATTGTTGTCCTTAAGTTTTTTTTCATATTTTTTGCAATTCATCATCTTCTTTCTTAATCTCAATCTTATATAGTTTATTGACTTGAGTTTCGAAATACATTTCGAAAACTAAATTTTAACGCCTTTTGATTGTACTCTTTTGCTGCTAGTCCGAATTACTTCCAACTTATCATATTTCAAAATACCCTCGACAATGTATTTTTATATTTATTATATCAATACATTCATTTTTAAATATATATATATATACATATCTTAATACCTGTTAACTCTTTTAAATTATTCATGTCATAATGATTTTATGTTCAGGAGAACTCGATCATTAGACATGATAAAAATTTTCGAAGTTACCATTAATCTTTTTATAGAATGTGATTGGCCACAAAAAATATCGTCTTTTAATAAAAATCCTAAAATTAATTAAAACTTACTAAAAAAAGTTTACATCTGCGAAATCAAAACTAAGTTCAAGAATACGATTACAAGTGAGGAAGATATTAATACATTCATATCACCTGTTTAAATAACAATACCATTTAAACATGTGTAATCCTATAATTTTAATAACGTTATTTTTTTATTTAAGTTTAATTTTTTAAAATTTATTTTAAAACATTTTTTTCTGTTACAAAATTAACATTATTATTTTATTTTTATTATTATTATTATTATTATTATTATTATTCTCCAACACTTTGGTGAAATTTATAAAAAATCATTATTTAGAAAATATTTCAAGAAAATTAATCATTCACAAAATTCTCAAAAATTTGTCATAAGATTTTAATTATTTATTTTAAAAATAAATTTTAGGAACATCCCGACTCTTTGGTGAGTTCCCGAAATTTATTAAACAAATTTTAAAATTATCCCGACTCTTCGGTGAAATCTTAAAAAATTTTGGTAAGTTTTAAGATTACTTTTTTTTGCCTTTTTTTTTCCTTTTGTTTTAAAGATTAATAATAATAATAATAATAATATAAACAAATTATATTTAAATAATAATAAAATAAAGAAAAACAAAATTGGTGTCTATAACTACCCTTCTTTGCTTGTTTCTGAGAATCATGAATAAAGTAAATACAAAAATACACTAATTTTGTTCAAGTAAACACATACAAAAAATGAAATATTGAATATAAATTTTTTTTTTTGAAAGAAAATTTGAAAGGCTCTTCTAAACAGAAGCTATAAAAATTTTAAATTTAAAAAGCTTATCTCACCAGAGGGCAATGAACTTTAAATTCAAAAGCCCATTTAACCAAAGGCAATGAATTTTAGATTCAAAAAGCTCATCTCACCAGAGATAACAAATTTTAAATCCAAAAAGCTCCTTCAGCCAAAGGCAACAAATTTTAAATTCAAAAGGCCCCTCTTACTAAAGGCAACAAACTTTAAATTCAAAAGGCTCCTCTCACCATAGGCAACAAACTTTAAATCCAAAAAGCTTCTTTAAACAAAGGCAACAAACTTTAAATCCAAAAAGTCCTTTAACCAAAGGCAACATACTTTAAATTCTAAAGGCTCCTCTAACCAAAGGCAACGAACTTTAAATGGCTCATTTAACCAAAGGCAACAAACTTTAAATGTTAAAAGGTTCTTCTGACCAGAGGCAACGAACTTTAAATGGCTCTTTTAACTAAAGGCAACAAACTTTAAATTAAAGATCTAAGAGGACTTATAGATTATGCCATTTGGTTTACAAATCATGCCTAATTTTGATAGAATCCTCTGACCAGAGGCTCTTAAAATTAAAAAGCTTTTCTGATCAGAGGCAACAAACTTTAAATTCAAAAAGGCTCTTCTGACCAGAGGCAACAAACTTTAAATGTTAAAAGGCTCCTCTGACCATAAGCAACAAACTTTAAATGTTAAAAGGCTCCTTTAACCAAAGGCAATAAACTTTAAATGTTAAAATCTGAAAGGCAATGGTATTTGAAAGATTTCTCTAAATAGAGGGTTCACATCTTTCCTATTTTTGACTTTTTTTTTGTTGGTCTTGAATTATCTTAGATCCATACCTCTATCGTGTCACATGAATGCGTGTATGACATTTTCATGTTTTTGCAATGCCATACAATAAATGATGATCATGATGCAAATGCACTTACTATGCAAATGAAAAGACTATATTCTTTCTCTCTTTTTTTCGTTGTCATTTTCTTTTAATCTTCAAAATTTCTCAAAGTTTGTTTCCTTTCTTCTTCTTTTGAATCCTATGCATATTAGCAGTTGATTAATAAAAAGATTTCTCTTTATATCTCATATTCCATGTCAACCACTTTATGACTTATAGGCCACTTTTCCCATTAACCTTTGTTCCTTACTATTTTGCTTATCATTTTAAATCTTTTTCAAAATAATGTGTGTGTCTTTTATGGTCGTTGTTATTCCTTCATCATCTTTTGAATTTCAAACAATTATAGCACATTACATTTTTTTTTTTTTAATGAGAGGGATAAAATGAAGGATAAACAAAATGATATTTTATTTCGGTAAAAAGGAAAAGTGTTTCATGCATTATCAAAAAAGATATAACAAGGACAATAAGTAATCACATAACAAATATTCATAACATCATGAACTAATTCATCGTGGATTATTTTCTAAAGACTTTTGATTGGTGCCCTTAACTTTTCAAAAATGCAACAAACCAAACTAGTCCAAAACCATTGAAATCTTCTGGCACATATTGAGAATTAAGCCACTTCATTCACTATCCTCTTTTGTTTTTATCTAAACTGCTCTTTCAGGTTTTTAACTTAGATATCTTTTCAATTCATTTGACTTTTTTTAATTTTTTTAAGCATAATACTTTTTTACTACATCGACATTGACTGAATTTGGCAGATCATTTCCATCCATTATTGCCAAGATCAGTGTCCCATCAGAAAAAACTTTTTTCACCACATATAGGCCTTCTCAATTAGGAGTCTACTTTTTTCGAGGATCCTATTGGTTAGGAAAAATCTTCTTCAATATTAATTCTCCCTCTCAAAATTGTTGTGGGTGAACTTTCTTGTCATGAGCTTGCATCATTCTTATTTGATATAGTTGGCCATGGTAAAGTGTAACTAATCTCTTTTCTTCAATGAGATTCAATTGTTTATATCGAGCGTGAACTCACTCAGCTTCTTCTAACTCAACTTCAATGAGAATGCGCAAGGAAGAAATTTCAAATTCAATGGGCAACATTGCCTCCATCCCATATACCAATGAAAATGGTGTAGCTCCCGTAGATGTGCAAATCGAAGTTCAATAAGCATGTAATGTAAATGATAGCTTTTCATGCCAATCTTTATATACATCTGTCATCTTTTTAATAATTCTCTTTATGTTTTTTATTGGTCGCTTCAACTACCCCATTTATCTTTGGATGATAAGGTGCTGATTTATGGTGGTTAATTTTAAACTAAGCACAGACCTCAGTCATCATTTTATTATTCAAATTAAGAGCATTATCCAAAATGATCCTTTCTGAAAGGCTATATCGACATATGA